GGGCGCGGCTGCAGCCGTGCTGTCATGGACTCCTTGGGAGCATTGATCGCCGACCCCTTCTGCTTTTAGGTTCCCGGTCGTGGTCAATTTAAGCAACGTATTGTGTCAGAAGCTGAGTCCGGAGGCTGCCTGCAGTGAAGCTAACGCTTGATGCAGCCTTTTGGCAGCAGGTGTTTAAGATCCCATCTGCCATGAATTTGTTCTCTTGCTGCTGTTCATGTTGCCCAGACTCACTCCAGCAAGAAATTTGGGCTTTAAGTCTTGATATTAAGAAGTCATGTTCCAGCTTCTCCCATAAAGGCTGCTTTGAGCATAGCTAAGGCCCTTAGCTCATTCAGTGGGGCCTAAATGTGGATGGGAAGAGAACCATGGTGTTTTGCAGTGACTTATGTATATGTATGTATCTATAACTGCTGTGAATCCCAAAAGTAGACACGAGTGCCTGTGGATTTTCTTTTACTAGCATCTCTGAATTACTGTGCTCTTACAGCTGGTAAGGTTTTTCTGTAAAGTAAAGGTCTTTCAAATGTGTTGCAGAGATCACTAAGATTTCTGGTATATTTGATGCTTATATACTGATAATCTATGAAGAAAAAAGATATTTGTTTTAATAGCTCCTTAAATACTGTAATGACAGGGTGGTTCTGGGACATTCTCGTTGTTGCCAACTCCCATAGACCTTGATATCTGTGCTAATATGAACACTGAATGCTCCGATGTGTAGAATAACCATGTTTGTATTGGTCACTGTGAAGTGTATGTTTGGAGATTTTTTTTTTCTTTTTAGTCTCTCAATTCTCTTAACACTTTTTTCAGTGTCCAGAATGAAGGCTTTAAAAATACTAGCTTTGCAGCTGCTGTTGCGGTGGAGGTCTCTGTCAGAATCATGTTTGCTGAGAGATGGCTTTGTGATTCTGTTATCTTTAGCATGCATCATTACCCTTTTCTGGCAGCTGCCTCACGTATCATTTATTTCCTCTGATGCACCTGCTTAAACATTTCTGGCTGTAGGTTCATGAGAGGAACAGGATGGAGGTGGGTGTAAGATGTATTAGTGTGGGTACAGCTGCTTATTAAATCACTTCTGTAGCCTCCTCCTTTTCTAAGTAAAGAAAAGCCTGGCCCTTAATTCTTTCATAGTCCTCAAAAACAAATGAGAAGAATATTTAATCAGTTACTTAAAAATTGGATCTGGGTGAAGAAGTAGGAGAGGGGGGGATTGGAGCTGAGGGTACAAGCTTTTCTTTCCAAAGAAGCATACGTTTTGTCCGTTTACAGAGCAGTTCCATGGTGGAATGTCCTGCCATAAGCTTACACAATTTACAGTGGTTTCTGATCGATATGTTGCCCTTTCTTCAGATATCCTTGGATCTCAGTTAATACTGGCTGTAAAATGCACTTCCCAAGGGATATAATTCCAAACATTTAACTATGTTTTACTCACCACGCCTTAGTGGAAAAGACTGGCAATCTCAATGCAGTGGTTTCTCTTCTTGTGGCCTTTTTGTTTTCCCACAGCGGTCAGTTTCCATTAATAAGAATTCCAGTTCTGTTGTTAACTTTGTTAGCAAAGCTTTGTGCCGCTGGAAACTATGAATCACCAGATTTTCTTTTAGTGACTGCTAGCCTTATCAGGAGCCAGTCGCTCACTCTGCTGCTGTAAATTGATGCAGCTTCCATGACTGCAGTGCAATTATTTTCATGGTTATTTTGATATACCCTGTGGTAAGAGTATACAGAACATTCTTAACCCTGAGAGCATATTTCTTAGCAAAGACAAATTTTTTTTTTTTAATCTTTCAACCTGAAATTCTTCTTTTTCCATCTACTAGCTGACAAACAGCTCTTCTAGTTTCTTATTCAGAATGTATCTGTATTAGTGGGTGGGTAGTTCCTTTCCAGGCTAAATCCCATGGGGCTCTTGCATTAACTGATTGTGAATAACAAATTGCCTTCCTCTAGGCTGATGCTGTGTTAAAAGAATATATGAAAGTTCCAACAGAATGAAGTTTGACAGATTTTGTGGTTGGTGAAGTGCTTCGAAAAGTGATGGTTATGCACCCACCTTTGGGGAAGAAGGAGAGAGTTGTTTACTAAATGAGACATAATAATGGTAGTTGTCACCTGACCCCTGGTGACCCAAAAGTTATTTGCAAAGGTGGGAGAAAAGATTTCTCTCTACTTACAGGTGGAGAAGCTGATTTACAGAGATGGTATTTCCAGCTCCACTTTCCTGCCTTCCTTGGGCTCTATACCAACTCCAGGATGAATGTGCTTGCTGACACAGAGGACAAGTTTCCTAAGTCCCTATATCAGCTGCTAGATCACAGCTGCTTTTTTGCTCATTTAGGATGGCCACATCTTTAAATAAAACTATTTTAACATATTAATATCATATTTGAAACATCTGTTGCAGATTCAGTGTACTGTCTCCACCAGGTCTTAGTCACCTCTTGCAATTCTCATTAAGTAACTTATTTGCTGTTCTGTCACTTTCTTTTACTTGTTTTTCTTAACCATACTGTGAGGTACCTCTCACTTGCACTCTTTTTCCCCTTCAGAAGTTCTTCCCACAGCTGCTTTAATCTGATGGTTTTGCAGGAATTACAGAATAACATTCATGTAAACTTAAGCTTTTTCAGAAACAAGTTGTGTGTTGCTGTGGCAGTACCTGCAAATAAAGGAAAAAAGTGCTGTATGTGCGTATGACACAGTGTGCTTTCAAGCTATGCTTAGCATTTATATCTTTCATATCTGTAGAACTGCTTTTTGAGAAGAAAGAATTTTTCCTCTCCCATTTTTTTCTATTTAAAAAAAAAAAATACTTGCCAGAATTCTGATGATGATAATGCAGGATATTTTTTCATAGCTTCCTGACAGGCTGATGCATTGTTTAACAGCTGTATCACACTTACAGAAATATGATTCTAAAATACTGGTCAGGTCACTTTAAAATAAAATGAAAGTGAAAGCAGACTCTTTCCAAAAATCAGTAAATGCATTGTATGCAATTTAAGTAGTTTGCTAATTTTGAATTTTCTATTCAGTCTCCTCTTTCTCTCCATCTATATTGTGGAAAAATGATACAGTAATGCTACTTTTCCACTCTCCTATGTGAGAGTAAAGGATTGATTACAGAGTTGGAGAGGATTTTTTTTCGAGAAGTGGTAGTTCAGTTTATTCTCCTGTCCTAAAATAGGATCAAGTCTACCTAAACCATTTTTGACAAGCGCTCTTCCAGCTTGTTATTCAGAACCGCTAACAAAGGTGATTTTTTTTATGGGCTGTTATAGTGCTTAGCTAACTTTGCAAGAAAAGCATCCCTGGGAGCAGGCACTAGAGACCAAGGTGCCAACCTTTAGCAAAGCACTGGTCTGCTAGCGTCTGCACTTGTAGCCTGCAGGTGAGGGATCTTCAGCTCACTGGACCCACTGAAGGCCTGAGCTAAGTGCATATGGGCCATGTTTAGAAGGCCAGGTGGGTGATGTATGCCCTGCACCTGGGTAGGAATAACGCCATGCACCATTACACGCTGGGCGTGTCCAACTGGAAAACAGCTTTGCGTGGAAGGACCTGGAGGTCTGGGTGGACAAGCTGACCATGAGTCAGCAATGCACTCTTGTGGCAAAGGCGGCCAGTGCTATGCTGGGCTGCATTAGGAAAAGTGTCGCCGACAGGTCGAGGGAGGTGATCCTTTGCCTCTACGCAGCACTGGTGAGGCCACTTCTGGAGTACTGGCTCCATGTCAAGGCTCCCCAGAAGAAGAAAGACATGGACTTAGTTGAGTAAGTCCCACAGAAGGTCTCAAAGATGATTAAGGGACTGGAGGATCTGATATGTGAGGAGAGGCTGAGAGAGCTGAGGCTGTTCAGCCTGGAGAAGGGCAGGCTTGGGGGGAATCTTATCAACGCATATAAATACCTGAAAGGCCAGGTGTAGAGGGGATGGGGCCAGACTCTCTTCACTCGTGCCTAGTGACAGGTCAAGAGGCAACGGGCACAAACTGAAACACAGGAAGTTCTGTCTGATTCTACAGAAGAAAACATTTTTACTGTGAGATTGACTGAGCACTGGAGCAAGTTGCTCAGAGAGGTTGTGGAGTCTCCATCCTTGGAGATATTCAGAATCCGACTGGACGTGCTCCTGCGCAACATGCTGCGGTTGACTTTGGTTTGAGCAGAGGGGTTGGACTAGATGATCTCCAGAGGCCCCTTCTAACCTCAACTATTTTGTGATTCTGTCTTTTTTTTCCTTCCATCTCTCCCCTCAGCTGTCATGAAGCAGCATGATATCTTCTGTGCTTTCTGGAGTGGATGAATCTTTCAGAACTAGGTAGCCCGTGTGTTAGGCCTTACTGCTGAATGGTAGTGTAGAGTTGGGGAGACTTTGGATGGCAAGAAAGGTACAGTATGTGGGTGGAACCTGCTCCTGTGCTGTGGGACTTGAACCTGGGCCTTCTAGATGCAAGGGATGAAGCCTACCCTCAAATGGCTATACAGAAGAAACAGGCTACCACGATGGCTCCATTCAGCAAGTGCTGTGATAGGACAGGTCACAAGCAATATGTGCTAAAAGTTACAATTCAGGAGTAACTCTGCCTGCCTATAAGACAAATTTAACGTATGTTACACTAGCTGGCATTTTTTTAGTACTTCTTCTCCTTGCTCATGTTGTTAGCACACAGAAACACAGTTATCTTTTGGGCTGTTAGACTTGCCATGTCATACTAGTTCTTTCCTCCTCATGAAAATAACTTTTCCTTTTTGTATGAACAGTGGTGATAACGTTCTTGTATTGCTGCAGTTGGGTCGGATTGTGACATACCCGTTATGGCTGATCTACAGCGCCTTCCTAAGGGTTTTTGGGAATCCCCGTCCTGCAATTACTCTGAAGGATCCTGAAGTGAAGTATGCATTGAGGCTGATTGATAAAGAGGTAAGTCCATGTACAGCACTGAGGGTGTAGACACCACTCCATGAATATTGTAAGATGTTTATAGCTTCCTAAATCTTGGATAATGTTGCAGCAGGTCTGTAACTTGTTGGGAATTGTAGATGTTTTGAAGGCTCTACTGAGTTTTCTTTCTAGCTAAATCATGCAGGTGTTAAATATTTTAAGTAAGTAAATTATTTATAAATGCTCCTTGCCTAATATAACTGAGGTCTGCAGTGCAGATTCCTGCAAGCCGGTTTGTTTCCAAATAAGTGAGAGTGGAGAACAGTGCTTTAGAAACGATCAAACTAGTTTCTGTCATATCCCGCTCATGCAGTA